AGGTGGTCACATGTGTATAAATGAAATGCCAAAGAGTTATAGATATTAAGAGAGATGTAGCACACAGACATGCACACACACACAGGTATATACACACCCATGCACACAGAGAGAGATGCAGGGTTTCCTTATAGAAAAGGAGCTCTGCTTGATATTTTAACTTCTGTTTTTCTGTGGCATAACTGTCCCTTCTGTAGTAAAAAATTGTGGGGGGTCACTGAGAAAAATGAATGCCAGTGAGAACCATGCGGTGCAAAGGCATGTGGAAAGGTATTCCCTTCTACTCCTATGCAGAAAAGCTGTGCTTTATCACCACATCCAACTCAGGTCACTAACAGGAAAGCAGCTGTGATCTTCTCCATTAAACAAAACCAGCTCTTATGACTCAGACTAGAAGAATAAATTTGCTACCTGCTCAGTTTCTCTTGGTGTGGGTTTCCATCCATCAACCCTAATGAGAATGGGAGCCAGGGAAGAGTGGATGACTTTTTGCAGTCCTTGATGGCCCAAGCACAAATATTGGGACGTGTTTCTTCACACACCTTTTCACACAGGCTCATGAGATGAGATATTCACCCCTGCACTCCATTACCCAGAGCTTATCTGCATACAGGCAGCTATCAACTGTGTGCAGCTGATCCAAAGTCCACAAATTACAGCGGTCATTTATGAACGCAGGGGCTCTCTACATCTCCCTACACACATTTTTTTTTTTAAATCAGCTGCACAGAGACAGAAGAGTTAAAAATACACTGGCATGTATGTGTAAAACAGAGATCTCAATTTTGATTTAGCCATTCCTACCACCTCCTCACCTGGCAATGAGGTCTTAAAAGATCTTTGAACTCATGAAATACCACATCTGTGGAAAAAAACACTCTAATTTTTCAGCATACTGATTGTTTTGACCTTAAATGAACCTTTATTAGACTATCAGCTTAGCACAATGTTATTTAACATATACAGTTTCAAAGAATTATAGATGCTCTTGAGTAACTGCCAAAATCCACTCAGAAAAGAAGTCTTAAAGTCTTATATTTTACCTTATTGTTTGCCAGGTACAGGTAATTCAGGTTCTCCAGATGTTCAAATGCTTCTTCTGGCAGTCCTTAAAAAAAAAAAAAAAAAAAAAAAAAAAAAAAAAAAAAAAAAAAAAGCTTCTTATCAGCAACACTAGCACTCCCTGATTGAGAATATCATAGGGTAGTTTTATCTCTCAGGCAATATTTTTAATGTAAGATCTAAATATTTTCGGCAGCACTGAAACAACCTGACTCAGGCCTTTTGTTGTTCAGGTGTTTTTTTTTTTTTTTACTAACATAGAGAGATGCTGGCACAACGGAAAGGAATTTATTAAACACAGTTTTCTTTGTGCTAAGTACGAGTTATAAGCATTGTGTCCCACGCATAATGAGCCCACATTCTCAATAAAGGTTTGCTCTGTCTTGCTGTAAGGCTAGCAAGAGCACCCAGCATATCTGGACAGCACTTAATAACAATTACATTTCTTCTATTGCACCTCCTGCTCTCTGGCTATTTAATTCCTTTCTTCCTTTTGCTTTCCTTAGTAATCAGCAGTCACACTTTTCTAATAAGCCTATGACTTAGCGAAAATCTTAGCAAAGAAAAAAAGAAAAAAAGGAAAAAAAATGCATACAGAAAACCAAACAGTTTTAGGAAAAGGCAGAGGTTGCCTCATATGTAATATAGGTTATTTGGATTTACAGCAAATTCAAGACAGACTGATCTGAACTGAGCAAACTGACAGACTGGACTGAGCTAACAAAATGGAGTAAGAAACAAGGTCAGTCAGAAAGAAATCATTCTGCTTGTGGACATTTCTGGTTCCCAAGTGCATTGCACCGATGTGCCCCAGGGACTGGGGAGAGTTTCCTGGACGTGAAGATCTCACGCCACAGTACACAGAGCTGCTGCCAGGCCTCCTCCACCAGCCCAGTAAGGCTGCATTCTTATACACTGAGTGCTACGTTTCAGATGATAAAGTGCCTCCATGGTCTGTATAATGGCCAAAGGAGGGATGCTTATAGCCAACTGTTGCAGTCAAGTGAACCCACCACTTTTCACAGCTTTCTTCAGCAGCTGTCACTGGGCTCCCTGCATTAGCTGGTATTGCTGTAGGGATTGACGCTGAGGCAATGGCTCTGTGCACTCATGACTTTTCCAGCTTACCTTTTGAAGTAAGCCTGTTGTTTTGTAGATTGAGAGTTTCTAGCCTGTGAAGACGAGCAAGCTCTTCTGGAAAGATTTCTTCTATCTGGTTATTCTAAGAAAAAGGAGAGTATTAATCATCAGCAAAGCGATCCAAGCAGGATCCCAATAAAACCCAGACAGTGAACTCCAAGAAAATTTGGAAATGGACCCACAATGTCAAATCATTGTCAGCAGCCTTCTCTCTATAACGAGCCAAACTCAGATCTCAAACCCTGCAGCTTTTTACGGCCTGAAGCAAGCTCTGAAGAGCTTGTGCTCTTCTCCAGAAATATCCAGCTGGTGCACTGGTAGCATGCAAAGACTGGGATCATTCTTGGCAAGACTTGTGACCTATCTGCCAAAGCAAAGCCTGGTAGCTGCTGTAAAGCAGTTGCTACAAGGATGGCACCGTGGAGTTGCAGATTACTATTTCTGCTGCCTTTTTTTTTTTCTGGGAGCAGGGGAGCTCTTCTGATGTATTTTGTGATGAACTTTTCTACAAACTTGTCATGGGCAGGGAACATCAAACTGGGTTTGCCCTCACTGTCAAGAGTAACTGCCACCAGATTTCCATTAACACGCTGCTACTGGGACCGTTCAAGTGCGATTCTCGCACTCGAACATGTAGAACCTTGATGAAAAATCTGGACCCCAGTGCAGGAAGCCAGACTAGGACACCAAAAGCGGCAGCAGCTGCTCCAAAGCAGCCTCCCGGCCTGGGGCGGCGGAGGCAGGAGCGCGGCTCACACGTGCCTGGGACACGGCTGTGGAGCGGGGCACCAGCGGCTCCCCGAGGAGCCCGGCGAGCACAGGACCGGCGCCAGCCTGGCACGTGGCAGCGCTGGGCCCTTAGCAGCTCCAGTCGGCAGCATCCTTGCTCCTCGACGCGTCCATGGGGCTAGGGGCTACGTTTGTCCCTCTTGTGGATGTTTTATTGGCATATACTGCTGCCTGAAAAAACATCTTGTTCGTGAATGAAGACTGTATTCTTCGGAGAGGCCTCAAAATGAGGAAAAAAAAGTTACCGGAAAACTCTATTATAACGTTGGGTGAAAATCTT